CAGGCATGTCATAAGGGGAACAATCCAAAATGGCTGATAAGCCGTTGTAAGAGCCAAACATTTGTAACAACCCAAGTGTTCATCAGTAGCATTGAAGATTATAAAATAGAGCGCTGCATAACACTGAAAATAAATTACAGCTACCCAACATGATGGATAAGTCTTAAAAACAATGCCGAGGAGAAGCCATACATAATAGAACATCAACTGTATGATTCCACTTAAGTGAGGAGCAAGCAAAACGAAACTACTATTTAAAGATGCGTGCTTAGGTTGTCAGACTATATAAAAGCAAGAAAGTAGGGAAGGGGGTTGTGAAATAGGTGAAGGAGATTAAGAGGTACAAACTTCCAGTATAAAATAAGTCAGAAGGATGAAAAGTACAACAGAGAATATAGTCAATAATACTGTTGCACCGTACGGTGAGTGCACCCACTGTGGTGAGCATAACATACAGAACTTGTATCACTGTTGTACTCTGAAACTAACATATGTCAACATACTCTTAAAGGCAAGACATTGTTAAATGTTAACTCTGTGGGGACAGGAGCTGTAATGAGAAAGGCATGTATAGGGACTTCCACGGTGCTGAAAGTTGTGTTGATCTGGGTGGTGATGACCTATGTGTTCACTTTATGTGTTATGTAGGCTGTATGTTGTGTGTACATTGTGTTCTATTTCTCAACTTAAAAAGGTTTAAAAAACAATAAAAATAACTAAGTAAAATTAGCCTGAATTTTGCCTCTTTACAAACACTAATCTTTTATATACGGTTAAGCTAGTTTTGTACAGTTTGGTAGGTGAAATAAGGTATCTAGTTGTTGCTCATTTTGTATTCAATTCGTAGATTGAAGTAAAAGGATTTGACATAAAAGTGTTTGACAGTATCTTTTGCTTTCCCTATTCATGTCTTTTGCCCATTTTTCTCTTGGAATTGTCATGGTTTTCTTAACTTTAGGCACGTATCACATATTTGCAAGTATTTTTCCCAGATCATTTTTTTTTTTACATAGAGAAAATTTTCTTTTTAAAGTAATCAGATGTCTTTTCAGGTTTATTTTGCTATGGGCAGGAAATCTCACCCCAGTATCAGATTTGTACCATATTTTTTTCTAGGTCTTTTGTGGTTTGCTTTTTACATCTAGATGGAATGTATTTTTATATTTGGTGTGAATACAGTGTCAGTTCTTTTTCCTAAATTTGTCACCTCCTCACCATCTAAATAATCCTCCTTTTCCCTACTGATTTGGAATGTCATGTCTACCATATGCTAATTACTTCTGTAAATTCAGATTTCAGGCTCTGTCCTTTTTTTCTGCAAAGATCGTATTTTATCATTTAAATTTGACAGTATTCTCCGAGAGCCTGTGGTAAAAATACTATTTCTTCTAAAGTAAGTTTAATACTAATCTTCATGGCTTCAATTTAAAAATATGATTATAAATCAATATAAAAATATAAATGGCATCTTGTATAATTAAGAATAAAAATAGTATATGCATGTGTTCCAGAGTGGTTTCCACCTCCTAAAGCTTTAGAAAGTATATACTCAGTTCAATAGTATATCTGCACTTTAGTTATTTTTAGGTATGTATTTGAGACTACTTAATAACAACAGTAATTGTTTCTTTTTATTGCCAGGCAATATAGTGTTGGATTTGAGGTTGTAACAGTGTCTGTGGTGGGAGATCCTGGTCCCCATGGCTTTCAGAGGAAGTCTAGTGGTGACTATAGGTAATGTTTACATTTTGACTGCATCTAATTTATACTTTACTCTTTGTGGCATCATCTTCTGTAAACTTTGTTCTCATTTCCCTGCATATAGGTGTGGGTTTTGCTACCTGGAATTAGAAAATATACCTGCGGGGATCTACAATATCATTCCTAGTACTTTTTTGCCTAAACAAGAAGGACCTTTTTTCTTGGACTTCAATAGTATTATCCCGATCAAGACAACGCAACTTCAGTGATGCAGCTTTCAGCTTTACTGGATTTTATACTTACCAAATCAGCTCTTCAAATGAGGACAGAAATCCTCAGGACACCAAACAATCAGAACAGAATTAAATCTCTCAAAATGTTACAGTGGGATCTGGTGCTGCTCAAGTCAGAGTGTTTAGAATTGTATATAGTCAGAATTACCCTAAATCACTCAGAAGTACTATTTACCTGGTTTTATGTGTATAAGGACTTGGTTTGCATTGAGGGGCCCCATTGTATAAACCAGACTGTGGAGGATTAAAGTTTAGGCTCAGTCAGCACTGTATGGTGCCTTTACTAGAAGAGAATAGAGACCGGATAAGGGACATGACTTACCCACTCAACTGGGTGGAACAGTAGGCTGGAATAATATTCTGAAATACTTATATTTGTCTTTTGGCAGAGCATGTTGTAAGTTAAACTTGCTTGTGTTGTGACTCTACATCTTGGGCAGCTAATTACCAAATGAATCACGTTACCATAACAGATTTTGTGTTACGATTTTTAATGTTTGTTGCCCAGATGTTATGAAAGAATAAAGCTTTAAGAAATATTTTAACTTAGTTTATAATGAAGGTGGTTGAACTTAGGTACCTGTCTCCCATTAACTCATGTAAGGAGAGCTGAGATATATTCATTATTGCATTTCTTACTTTTACCAGGCTAAATGAAGGTAGTAATCTGAGACACTGAAGACATTACAATTTAGTTTGTATAGTCTTTTAAAAATTGCTCTTATGGTAACACTGAAAAAAAATACGATTGAAAATTTAATATATGGTAATTGGGGTTGTATTTGGAAAAGCTGCCAAGATACTAATGCCATGTATAAATTCCCAGTTTACATAGAAATCCTTGAGAGCAGAATGATGCTCAAGATTTTAAACATCTGAAAATAAGGTGGAATTTTTCGTCGTCTCTACTTTATAACTATCACCAGTTATTTTGTATTTCTGCTACCTTGATTTGAAATAAAATCTTTATACTTATGGAAACTGCATAGTTTAACCTAGAGAGATTATTAAAAGGCTTCATCTAGTACATTCCATCTAAAAGAACTCATTATTTACATGACCATTCAGGCTTCAGCAAATCTGTTTTCATATTCAGGACAGTGATTCCACTTTGGTAAATACTTTGAATTTTAGATGGATTCATTTTGTGGCCCTTTAAAGAAAAATTTAAACACATAATTGGAACATTTTATGTTAAAGATATTTGTACAGGATGCAAACAAATAAGACCTAATTCCTACCCTCAAAAACCAAATGGAGACCTACATATACCGGTTTAATCTAATATTGAATTGTTATAATAGAGCTCCAGATACGGCGCTACAGATAGGGAAAAAAAACAGCCTGAATGTCAACCCGATGCACATTAGAATCACCTGGGGGAACTTTTAAAAGTTCGGTACCTCAGGCATACCCCAAATGATCTCAGGCTCTAAGACCGGCGAACAGCCGCCTTCTTGAAGCTTCCTGGGAGACTGCAGTGCAGCAGAGGTTGGGAAGCACTCTGACATAATCACCTTGTCTTCATTCTCCTAAAGCTGCATTCTCCTTACTGTGCTTTAGTCACAGCAGAATTCTAACTCAAACCTTCATAATTGGGGCTTAAATTATTAGGATCCAGGACCTTAACCGGAAGTTAGAACAGATGTCCACTGCATTCCATGCTCTTCCTTGTGGCAAGAAGGTTGCCTAGAATGGAAGATTTAGGCAACATCAGGGTTTCTTATTGGAAGACACACAAAAGTAAACATTTTCTTAAACTGTTTTTTATTACACTCAAATTAAGACAGGTACAAAATAACCTTGTAATTAGGATACTGTATCAGTCATTAAAAAAGAAAACAGTACAGTATGAAGAGATTTACAAATGACTAAAATATACAAGCTGTGTCAGAACAGACAACTTGAAATGGGTTTGCTTTTCTTTTAGAAATGCTAAAGTTGTCTTAACAAAAAAAGGACAAAAAATACAGTGCTCTAAATATGTGTAACCATGAAAACATTAAAGGAAAGCAATCTTAACATGTACTACTATTAGCATAACAGACTTCATTGCTTCTATTTAACAGCCTGTGCCAACACATGCCTACTCCCTTTCCTAGCTTAAGGAACAATTCCCTCTAAGAAATACTAATGCAGCATAACCCTTAAATAATTTTATTTTTAAAGTCACAACCTACAGAGAAATTGACACTTTGTCAATCTAGATATAACAATGGCAACCATTCTTCACATGCACTTCTCTTAAGTCCCATGGCTGGTGGGATAAGGTTTATGCTACAGACTCTCCTCCCCAACAGCCACAAATTGCCTTCTATGGTATGTCCCTGCTACCCTCCGTCCCTCCCATCCCCACGTTGGCATTCACCTTTCCCACCCCAAAAAGTGCAGTTCATGGTGTAACGTTTATAGAAAATGGTTCTAATGGGTATACCAGCACATAGGCTTTTTTAAAAAGCCCTGAATACCAGAGATGATGAAAATTGTGTTCTTGGGTTTTGTTTTTTTTTTAAGCCTTCGCTGGCCCAGAAAGGTGTGTTCTGAATATTTGAGTTTGTTCTTGTTTTGTTTTTTTGTTTTTTGTTTTCATTTTGATCCCCTGGGATATAAAGGAGACACCATCTCCATTTTCCCAAATTGAGGGTAAAAGAAGGGAAAGAGAAGCAAGCTGTTGGCCCCAGTTTGGCTCAGCTTCCCAGCCCCTTTCCTGGCTTGGGTTCTTTCACAGGAACTAGTTATTGCTTCCATAACACTGTTACGGGTAATATTCCACAAAGGCTGTGACCCTAGTCACAGTCCACTGCAAGACGCCTCTGCTCTGAAAAACCAGCCCAAGAGCTCTCTCCCGGAAGAAAACTCTTCAGCCCTCAAGGTCACACCTTCATTAGTGCAGTTTAGAGTAAACGCTTAAGATTTGGCATATATTAAATGATTATTGGCACAATGTTCTCCATACAGTTTTGTGTATAAATACTGCTATGCACTTGGGCCAGGGCTTTGGATGGATCAGCCAATCTGCACCATTTTTATGTCAGCAATAATCGCGTCTCTTCCCTTCGAGCACTGGAGGGAGAGCTGTTTCATCCTGTTCTCCAAGGCCTGGCCCTCGCGGGCGGTGCTACTTTGGCTCTTGCCACTGCCGCTGCTGTTGCTGAGGCCTCGGTTGTTGTTGGCTTTGTCACTTGTTTTATTCTCTGCCCCTTCTGCCCTGTCTCCTAGAGAAAGGTAAAGGACATCAGGTGAGTACTGACAATTCCAGGAGTCGCCTGGGCCCAGGCCATTGCAGCCCTCCAGAATCTCCCAAAATTCCCCAGCTGTGCCTGTCACAGAGCCTTCTCCATCACGTGATGACAGACGGCTTTTATGGCTCAAGGCATTTTAGGTATTCCTTATCTTTAGAGAGGACTGGTCCCACCCTAACAGTGGGGAAACAGCTCGCTAGCACAGACTGTGAAGAGGACTGCTGGGGATCAAAGAACTCAGACCGCCGTTTTTAAGAATCATTGGGGAGCGGAGCCAGGACCCCCAGAACAGTGGCTGGCATCTCTGTGATCAAGACAGACGGCATGTTCCCAGAGGCCCGGTCACGCGGCCCTGGGGCTGCCGAGACCTGGCAAAGGTCTTGAACAGTGCGGAGTTCTGGCTGCCGAGGCAGTGCGTCATGTGGCCCAGGCACTACTGGTGAGAGGGCTGTAACTCACCTCGTTCCACCTCACACTCAGGGGAGGAGGCTCCACTGCACTCGCTGCGAGGGCCCAGTACCGGGAACATCATTCCAAACTCTGACAGAGACACGGGGCTGGGCAGATCCAGGCTGCCAGGCCTCACAGCTGCAGGGAACTGCTCAGGCATCTCGGATGGGCTTGTGGGCCCTGAACTAAAGCTGGATACTGACTGGGTTTCCGAGTCGTCTTCTGATACGAAGTTGCTGCAGCTGTCATCTTCAAAGGCCTCGGAGGCCACTAGGAGGAGAGAGGATACCGGTCAGAGTTTCTGACACGGAGCAACCTTGTTCCTTCAGCCCCTCCAGAAGTGTGCTCCCCTGGCCAGCAGCCAGACGCGGCCTTGGGACGGCAGAATCCCTGCCCTGTGTGCACCTGAGTAAAGGACTGACCCTCCCAAGTCTGTGTGGCCAGAGTGTCCAGCAACTTGAAGGGAAGCAGCTGGGCCCCATAGATATTCCATGTCCTTACGATAACTTTCTAACTCCTGCTCTGGAAAGTCAGTGTTGACTACCTAAAGGGTGAGGATAAATCAGCCCAGATCAGGGGCGTTTCTCCACCCCAGATCCGCAAGTACAGAGGAAGAGAGTGGCCCTTTGGGATGCTCGCCAAACAAAGCTAGTAAGATGTGACAGCTGCTTCCGTGTAGCAGAAGGAGCTGCGAGAACAAACAGTCCTGTGTGGAGTATCTGCTGGGATCCTGTGATCTCCAGATCGCATAAAACTTCCCATCGCATGTAAGACACACCATTTGCTGCAAAAGGACAAAATTCCTTTACAGCGCTCTTAGCTTGTGCCTTACTCATTTTGTAAATCAGAATAACCAAGGCCCAGACGACAGGCCATTCTTGTGATCTGAAAGCCACTTTCACCTTTCTTTTCCCTTCAGCCTGCACATAAGCCTGCTTATTAGACCTTTCCTATTCTACTCTCCCTCCCTCATCTTTAAAATCATGGTAGCATCCCCTAGAGGACTACCATCAGTGAAAAGTACTGTAATACTGAGGACAGAAAATGGGCTTGTGTTTGAATTAAGATCCTGTCTCCCTTGCTGTGTAGCCTTGGTCAGGTTACTTAACCTCTCTGAGCTTCATGTTCCTTTCCATGTGAGAGGCTGGATATTAAAGTACCTCACACATTACTGACGATCAAATTTTAGTTTCCTTTCCTTTGGGCCTGGTACTTAAACATTTGTTGACCGAATTTCAAAACCCTGGAGGAAGGACCTTGGGAGAGGACCAACAGGGATTATTCCACAGGAAAGAAAGGAAGTGTACAAAGACAGTGCTGAAAAAGTTTTCTTGATTAGCCTAAAGGGAAAATGACCATGAGAAAAACTCAAAATGGATTAAAGACCTAAATGTGAGACCTGGAACCATAAAAATCCTAGAAGAGAGCACAAGCAGTAATTCAGTGACATCGGTCATAGCAACATTTTTTGAGACAGGTCTCATGAGGCAAAGAAAACCAAAGCAATAAACTAATGGGACTACATCAAAATAAAAAGCTTCTGCCCAGTGAAGGAAATATCAAAACTAAAAGGCAACCTACAGAATGGGAGAAGATATTTACAAATGACATATCTAATTAAGAGTATCCAAAAATATATAAAGAATTTATACAAGTCAACACAAAAATAAATAATCCAATTAAAAATGGGTCAAAGACATGCACAGACATGTCTCCAAAGAAGACATAACATATGACCAACAGACACATGAAAAGTTGCTAAACATCGCTCATCATCAGGGACATGCAAATCAAAACCACAATGAAATACCACCTTACACCTGTCAGAATGCCTAAAATCAAAAACAGTAGAAAAAACAGGTGTTGGCAAGAATGTGGGAAAAAAAAGGAACCCTTGTGCCCTGTTGGTGGGGATGCAAATTGGTGCAGCCACTGTGGAAAACAGTATGGAGGTTTCTCAAAAAATTAAAAGAACTACCCTATGATCCAGAAGTTCCACTACTGGGTATTTACTGCCCAGAAATACAAAAAAACACTAATTCAAAGGGACACATGCACTCCTATGTTTATAGCAGCATTATCTACAACAGTCAAGATATGGAAGCAACCCAGTGTCCATGGATGGACGAATGGATAAAGAAGATGTCTCTCTCTCTCTCTCTCTCTCTCTCTCTCTCTCTCTCACACACACACACACAGAGAGAGGAGTATTACTCAGCCATCAAAAAGAATGGAATCTTGCATTGGCAATAATGTGGATAGAGCTAAAAAGAGTTTTATGCTAAGAGAAGTAAGTTGGAGAAAGACAAATAGCATGATTTCACTCATGTGAAATTTAAGAAACAAATGAGCAAAGGAAAAAAAACCCAAAAACAAGAAACACACTTAGCTACAGAGAACTGATGGTTACCAGAGGGGAAGGGAGTGGGGGGATGAAGGAAATAGGAGATGGGAATTAAAGAGTATCATTTTACTTTTTTCCTCATGATAAAGGGGGAGCAGCACAGCAAACATGTACCAGTTTCCCAACAGGTGGCCTTGGGAAAAAAGGTGTCTATAGTTAGACACCAATGAGAATCACCATTTTCAGACTTCTGGGTGCCTGCCATTATTTCATCTAATTCCAGCCTCCCCTCTACACAGTGGGTACTAGGCACTCATACTCCCTACTTTACAGCTGAAAAAACAGAGTTGAGCCCTTGTCCACATCATGTACTAGGAGGACCCAGGATTTGAATAAAATCTGTGCACACAGTCCCTATTCAGAGGCAACTCTCCCTTCCTGCCCTGAATGTTCTCATATGTACTCTGAACATCAGGGTTAAAGTGTAACATTTTCCAAACTCATCCACCGCAGAACCCTGACTCTGAGGAACATTCAGTAGCACCTTGATAAATACAGCATTCCACAAAATGTGGGAAGCCACAAGAAATCACCACCTTTCTGGCCTGCCCAGCTCTGAGACGCTTCCATGATGGCGAGACAGCCCTGGAAGCAGATCACACAAGCTGCGTCATCTCCCACTTGCACACGAGCCCCCAGAACTCACCAGAAACAGCATCCGGCTCAGGCTTGCTCCCTGACAGGTCCTCCACAGACGTGCTGCTGCCCTCAGCCCCCACGCCACAGCCCCGAGGCCCCATGGCACTGGAGCGCCGCCGCTCGTGGATCTCGTCTGAGATCATCTCCAGGTTCTTCAGGGCCGTCTTGTACTCGCCTTTCGCCAGGGCCAGTTTGGCCTGCAGGTCATCCACAGTCTTCTTCAGTTGCTGGTCAAGAGAACAGGAGGCCCAGTAAGTGGAGGCAGCCCCTACTGGCCTTGCAAGGCTTCTGAATAACAAGTTCAAGCAATTTCTGCCCTTCTCTCCACTCCAAAGACTTCCCCAAGACATGAGTGATGGCCTGATTTCTCTTACCAGCTATCCACACAAGAGATCCACACTCCCAGCCCCAACTCCTATCCGGGTGACAAACTCACACTAATAACCAAACACTACCGTTGGCAGGATAAACCCCATCAGAGAAAGAATGGGTGTCAAACTCACACACAAGTCCCACTTTCTAGACATTTGGTCCCTTGTACTGTGGTTCTCAAACTTAAGGGTGCATCAGAACCCCCTGGAGGCCTTTTGAAAATACAGATGGCTGGGCTCACACCTGCAGTTTCTTTCTTTCTTTTTTTTTTTTTTTTAAAGATTTTATTTATTTATTTGAAAGACAGAGATCACAAGTAGGCAGAGAGACAGGCAGAGAGAGAGGAGGAAGCAGGCTCACCGCTGAGCAGAGAACCCGATACGGGGCTTGATCCCAGGATCCTGGGATCATGACCTGAGCCGAAGGCAGAGGCTTAACCCACTGAGCCACCCAGGTGCCCCACACCTGCAGTTTCTAATTCAGTAGATCTGCACGGGGTGGGGCTTGGGAAATCTGCACTTCCTAGGTGAAACTGATGCTGGTCCCAGCAGCCCCCGAGAACCACTGCCCTGGTACAGTGCGGAAAGCGGCTAAATGGCACACTGAGAGACGGCAGACACTGTTGAGGACCCACCAAGACCACTCTGAGGCCTGAAAACTCAGTAAAGAATGTGCTTCTCTCTCCATTCTCCTCTTGTAGCAAATAGACCATGTGAAGGCCCGCTGCCACATAAAGTGGAACTTCGCAGAAAAATCCCATCGACAACAAAGCCAAAGAAGGCTATACGTACCTCAAGCTGCACGTAGTACTTTGCCTTGAGTTCAAAATAGGGCCTGGGAAGACACAAGGAAGAACTGTAAGGGTGACAGAACACAATGACCCCAGTGGCCACCAGAGGGCATACCCGGGGCACTAGCTAAGGCCAGCAGGCCATCCGTCCAGGATGTAAACGCCAACCACTCTATGAGATGAAGAGGATACTTGTGCCTCTGGAGCCTGATGGATACCGGCGCCAGTCAGAGCTGAGCTGACAGAAGGCCCAACTCAAGATCGTGGAACCCACACACGTGAACACTTAATTCCTTGTACCCTGGTTCACTTTCCTCCCTGGGGGGCTATTCAAGGCCATACAGGGTGTGCCCAGCAGCCAAGGCAGCCTGGATCCCCTTCTCCTAAGGAGGAGATTGGCCCCCTCAAGACTAAAGAACAGATGAGGAGGAGGAGCTGCCTCAGCACGCACCCTCCTCTACTGGGGTCACCCAGGGAGGAGAGAAGCACCATTCACCCATCGCCGAAAGCACGGGGGCTCAGACTGGTCCTCCTGGATTCTGCCCAGGACCAGAGGCATCAGTCTGCAGACCCAGCCCGCTCATGGGCAAGAGGGAGGACAAATGCTAACATTCTACTGGTCTCCACGTTCTGGGCCAGTCAAAAGACCCTGGCTCTTTTTAGGAACTTTAGTGTCGAGCATTAAGAAAAGACCAGTGCTTTATTCTTGGGCTGTTCACCTCTTGTGAAGCTCTTCAAAAGCGTGGAGGCCCAGCGACTGTGAATGAAGCAGGGGGCTTGTCCCCAAGATCATTACTGTATAAAAATATATAGCAATCACGAGTAAAGCTTGCAGAAGCCTCCATTACAACCAGTCTTGCACTGTCTCATTGGCTCTTGGTCCACAGAGAACGTGTACTGTGCACACAGCTCACGCCCATTATGCTGACAGAAGGACGCAGCTCATCCACACTGTCCACCACAGAGCCAAGGGCACCGAGTCTCCCAAAGCCCAGCCCCAGGTCCCAGCCAATGAGCCATGCGATGGTGTGCTTTTGAAATTCTTTTTTCTGTGTCTTCCAGGTCGGTCACAGCTGGAGCAGCACTTCCTGCCTTGGGGGGGGTTATGCAGAACTTGGGGGACTCTGAGGAGGCGGGTCCCTGACTGCATGGCACACAAAAGGTGGAGAAGATGCCTGAGAGGAGGACAATCACCCAGGGCCCCAGCGTCCCACACGCCCAGACTCACTTGGACTTGTTGATGGCTCTCTTGAGCTTCTTCTCCAGCTGCCGCATACGGCCCATGGCCGCGTTGTACCTGGCCGCCGTCTCCTTGTGTACCAGCTCACTCCTTGTCTTGGTCTGCTCCGCCTCCATGACCTTCAAACGACAGCAGATGTCAGCCTGGCCAGACAGTCTTTTGTTGGGGTATTTCCTATGTCATTTTTAAAAATACTCTGAGGAGGGGCGCCTGGGTGGCTCAGTTGGTTAAGCGACTGCCTTTGGCTCAGGTCATGATCCTGGAGTCCTGGGATGAGTCCCGCATCAGGCTCCCAGCTCCATGGGGAGTCTGCTTCTCCCTCTGACCTTCTCCCCTCTCATGCTCTCTATCTCTCTCTCTCTCTCTCTCTCAAATAAATAAAGAAGATCTTTAAAAAATAAAGTAAAATAAAATAAAATAAAATAAAAATACTCTGAGGAAATCAGTGGACAGATGAAGAATAAACTAAATTCCAAACAGAAGAGGATGCTCTTCTCTGTGAACCTGCTTCAGAAAAGTGTGGCTGTGGCCATGCCTGGGAAAGAAAACGAGGAAAAGCAAAAATCAGAGAAGAATGAAATATTCTCTGATTGAATCGATGTCCACTTCCTCCTGCTCAGCCCTCCTGCCACGAAGCGGCCCCCGTGGGCTCCTTGGCTCCTGCCCTGGCACAGGGGCTGACGGGCACACAAATGGGCCAAGAGCCCCAGCAGGGACATCGAGGAATGGGGAGATCTCGCGCAGCCAGACCTGACCACATCGGAATGGCAAGGCAATCCCCACATCAGCTTGTTGGCCCATTCCCAGATATTCCTGCATTAGCCAGGGTGGGGGCAGGGGGTCACAAAAGAATCCAGGATCCAGAAGGGGCAAACTTTCCATTTAAACACACGACTATCAAGTCACTCAGATCAGATTCTGAGGTTCACAGACACGCACGATCAGGAGACCTGTCAGTGTTCTGGCAGGAAATTCTGGTGGGGACATTTCGTTGAGCCTGTTGATAAAAATTAGTTTATATTACCAGCAATTGGGCTGTCGATGGCCAAAAACAAGGCAGCTGAAAGGCACACTCCCTGACACATGGAAATGATGGTCCTTTCTTCTGTCACATAAAGAAAGCAGCAGAACAGGGGCACCTGGGTGGCTCAGTGGGTTAAAGCCTCTGCCTTCGGCTCAAGTCATGATCCCAGGGTCCTGGGATAGAGCCCTACATCGGGCTCTCTGCTCTGTGGGGAGCCTGCTTCCTCCTCTCTCTCTGCCTGCCTCTCTGATTACTTGTGACTTCTGTCTGTCAAATAAATAAATAAAATCTTAAAAAAAGAAAGAAAGAAAGAAAGAAAGCAGCAGAACAGGCCTGCCTTGAGGAGAGAGGAGGAAGGAGACGAATGTCGGTTTGGGCCAGGTAACCAGCTCACCAGTTCCTTCCCGTCTTGTAGTTACAGCTCACACACATGTTCTCAGATGAACTGGAGAGGCAGGGGCGAGGCTGGGCTAGCACCGGAGAGGAGCCCAGAGGGCCCCCAGCTCATGGGTCACTCCCTCCGACGCCAGCAGGACGATTTTGGGGAGGCCCCACCATGCCTTTAGTTTGGGGCGGCTGCTGCTTTCCCAACCCCCTCCAGTCAACAGCCAGTCGGACCTGAGAGAGCTTATTTCTGCACTGACTTGTAAGACGGATTTTTTTAAGTGTCAGGGAAAATGGTGAAAGACTCAAACGAGCATCAGAAACTGCCGGGTGACCTGGCTAGTGTGCCCTTCCCGGTCATCTTGGGCTTACGCTGTCTTGGAGCCATTTCACAACCCTGTACTGTACATGTCAGAACACAGGCAGTACGGCAGAGGGGTCTCAGCCTGGAAGTGAAGATGAGCTGCATCCCAGTGGAGAGGGGTTCCAGGACAGACTGCCCCGAAAATACTGACCCATTCTGCGTGCTTACAAATTCACGTCAGCATGCCTGACTCTCTCTGCATTTCAATTCTTCTTTGAAATAATCGCGTCTTACTGATTTCCTCTTTATTTAGGGAATTAAATAACATTTTGAATGTTTTACATTTATAGTTATCAGATATGCTTTTACCTTTTTAAGGTAAAAAGGCTTCGATGCTTGAGGTACTTTTAAACAACAGAATTAAAACTGTGTCAGAGAAGGGAGGTACGAGGGAACTGATCTAAGCTGGCGTGAGGTGATGTGCTTGCTAAAATGACTTCTCGGCCAAGCCCAAGGGGCTAAGAAACCCTCTCCCTCTGCTTCAAACATGAAAGATTTCACAATTTCAAAACAAAGTACACGAAAACCATCCCACACCTGGACACTTAGGGAAACAGCAGTAACTCTTCAGTTGTGTCTTAAATCTCAAGTATTAAGGATTTGCTGGTATGACCTTCCTGAAAACTCAAAACTCCAAGTTTATGAGACTGATGAAGCCTTCTATTGGTGGAAACTTGCATTATGATCAGATGTGATGCAGGGTTTCTCTTTAAGGAGTGGTATGAGAGCACTTTAAATAGACCTTTGCATAAAAAACTGGGATTCATGGCTATGGAGCAGGAAGAATCCCCACAAGCAGCAGGACCCACACCAGCTGCACACAGGCCCTCATCTCTCTCAGCCCCTACTCTGCAAAAAGAAGCCAGTCTGTCTGAAATTAAACACCCAGGAAGCTCCAAGCACTTGGCAGTATTGCCAGTGAAGACCCAGGAGGAGCTGCATATGTCATCGTCCCCCGCTTCACCCCTACCTGGCCACATCCGCGTCTCCCATCCCCATTTGCACCAACTCCCAGCTCTTGCAAGAAACCCCTCCAACCCCCAACTCCTCTTTCCGCCTCCAGGGAGAAAGTCACCAAGCCCGCCACTGTGGCTGCATGGTAACCAAGGAGCACTCCCCCCCACCCCGCCCATCTGAAGCCCAGCATCAGGCACAAGCAATGGCAGGAAAATGGGGGCATGGCAGCCCAGGACCGGGGGCTCTGTTAGGAAGGCCAAAGCCACAGAGAACACCAGCAAGTCACAGAAGAAAGCAACAAGGTAGTCCCTTAGCACCTCAAGGTAGCCCCAGGCTGGGCTGAGCAACCAGACACACGGCAGGGGAAACTCAGAACTGGGGTACACATTGCCATCGCCCTTGCCCTCCTCCAAGCCTGGTTTGATAGCTAGCTGGTCCAAACTCTGCAATGGCCTTTTCTCTTTACCCACCATCATTGTCACCTACAGTATGCACAGAGCACACTGGTGACCAAGCTGTGGGTGGCCAACCTCACGGGCATAGGTGTAGCCAGCAGTCGTGGCCGCCACTCTGGGCTGTCGGGAGGGCTTGACAGCAAAGGTGGCACGGGAGTGGGTTCTTCAGGGTGGGCGGCTGTGGGAACGACATGAAGGGGAGGAAGCATGGCGGGCTGAACTGGGCTTTATCAGCAGAGGTTGCAGCCCTTCCCTGCATCCACCCCTCAGGTCCCAGAGCCCCACCCACCACCCGCAGTGGGGTGAGCACGCAGGACTCAACAAAGGATAACGGGCAGGGCTCAGCTTCCCGCTGCCTCTCCTGGAGCTCGAGGGCTCCAGAGGGAGCTAACCGTCCAACAGGAAGAGAGTCTGGGACTCCGTCAGGATGGCCGAGATCCTTCTCCCCAGAGAGGGCCTGTCCTGAAGATGACCCGCCGGCCGTGTTCACTTCTGGGTGTGCCCACCTCAAGGTCTGTCCCAAGAGCCCAATGACTGACCCCCGGGCCAGGGCCCAGTGGCAAGGTTTGAGGCCTGCTTGACCTGAGCGTCCAGAAGCAGCACTGGAGGGGTCTACAAGTGGGCAGCAGGCCCTGGAGAAGGCATGCAGGCCAGCAGCTGCCTGTGCTCGGGATCCAGGGGAAGACAAAGGTCTTTACCTCTCCTCCTGGGTCAGGACAGAGAGAAATGTGTCTCCAGGAGTGCCAGCCCAGCCACCTCCTGAAACCCCAGGGCAGGTAGGCAGCTGGGTCCCAAAGGCCCCAGGGACCCTACCCACACCAGTGCACAGTAGATGCACACAGCAGATGCTCCAACAACCAGGCCCTCCTGCCTGGATACCACAGGCACTGACCAGGTGAGCTCACTGGACTGGCATAGGCTCCTGGCCGGGCCCCAGGCCACCAGCAGCACTGGTACTGGCCTGACTCCTCAGAGCCCTGGATTCCGGCTTTCCCAACTCCTCTGCGAACCCCAAGCCACTGCCCTCTGGCCCCGCCACCCTCAATGTCCCTGAGCTGAAATCAGGGCCCTCCTGTCCCCAGGGAAGGCAGTTTCCTGGTCTTCTCAGAAGCTTGGCCCCTGGTTCAGACTGTTCTCAGATTCTGCTGCAGAATCCGCTTTCTCTCTGCCATGCAGGAGGTGGGTGGTGCATACCCAGCGGTGTCAGGGAAGCTGGCCTCGACAGTTCATGTCTGCCACCGCAGCAGGCCTTGGATCCCCACAGCCAGGCAATGTCCACACCCCTGGACCTAGGGCGAGAGGCCGGCTCCATGCACCCCTTCCTTGCCAGAGGCCGCCTGCTACCTGTCTATGGCCAGGTAATGCCTCCCCATTCCTTCTTCCTCTCTCTGCTGTCCTCTGACGGGTAGCAGAAGAGCCCATTCCTCTCCCCTCAGATGCCTTGTCTCCTCTCCCGTCTGACAAAAAGCGATCACCTTCCCACAAAGGCTGCTTCAAAGCCAAAATAGTGGAGGCTGGAGGAGCCCCTGCTGCCAAAGCCCCCAAGTAGTGAGCAGCAGCGACCCCAGGCCCTGTGTCCCTTGAAGGCTACTCAAGTGCAGGCTCAGCCTGCTTGGCGCTGCCTCACCAGCTATGGCTTCTAACTCCCTCCTTGACCCTAGCACCGAGCAGAGAACTGTCACTTTGTCTCTATCTGTGGCATTACATGTGGCCTCACAGAGGACACTGGGACTCCTGACATTGCCTACGGTTTCCTAGGATGCTGGTGCCAGCCATGGCTTTAGGGTATGGCTGCCCAGCGTGACCATAAGAAGTCTGAAGGGAATGAAAGGGAGACACAGACAACCCCAGACAAGGAACAAGGGTAGGTCACTACACCATTCCTCCTCGGTGCCCGGGGGAGAGAATCACACAGCCCAATCCACTGCCGCTTCCTCAAGACAGCCCAGACCTTCCTGAGCTCTGGCTCTCTGACCAGACCGTTAAGCGTACGGTACTTTTTATGGAAGAAGAGGGTGAGATGAAGTTAGCTCCCTTCTTCTGAAGAAACGGGCTTCCTGGAGTATCCAGTGGTCAGACAAGGCAGGAGACACAGTCTGTACCCCTCCTTGTCTTCATCCCCATGAGGTTCGGGGAGCAGGCAACATGAGCCCCATTTGGGGAAATGCCAAATCCAGAGGAAGATCCACAGCCAAGCCCAAAAGGAGGGTCTGCACCATCCATCAGATTCAGTGTGCCCCCTTCTGAGTGAAGTTTCTCAGTAATGCAGGAACATGGTTGGGGAAGGCCCGGCCACCAGCTCTGTCTCTTGCTGGTGTCTGTTTCCAACCCTGCTTCTCCCTCAGGAGTTCAAGCCTATGCAACCATGAAGGAATCTGGGGAAGAGAACAGGAGCCCCAGGGTGGAAATCCTGCCTGTGAGTCAAATGCAGTGGTCCTCCCATTACCAAGAAACCTCCAGTGACCTCAGTGAGCGCACACTTCAGAGGACCCTCCCCAGGTCTTAGGAGCCTGGGTGACGTCAGGAGGCCCAGGACCATCTGGTACAGCCCCACAAATTGTGCACTGCCCAACCCCAAAAAGCATCACTCTCACAGAGGGTGGTATGAATGGTGCTCCCAGGAGTTGTACAGTGTGCAGGTCCTAGGGACACCTCTTCTTGACCAACCACTCACCATCCACACTAGGGCCCTGGGACTTACAAAACAGGTTTTAAAAAACAGTCATAGACATGTTTTGTTCCTTTTTAAAGAATAAAGAGTTTCTGAAATGATTTCTTAAGGCTGATTTAGATCTCCAGTTGGGGTGGAAAGAGGGCAAAAGGAAGAGCAGGTCTTTACCTAATTTCTTGGAAAGAGCTTTTTTTTTTTTTTTTTGGTCCTTTCCACATCTGTCAGACTGTGGCTTGTCAATTCCAGCTTCTACTCTGGTTTTTCACAGGCTGACCCAGAAAAGCTGTTCCTATTCCAGCCTGTGCTTGACTCTCTGAGCATCACATCCACTAGGGGGCAGGAGGCCCAAAGTCACAAGAGGCCAGGTTGGGGATCTGGGGCTTCAGGGGAAGGTGGTTCAAAGATGTGACTTGAAGTCATTTGTGTGTCAGGCTTTCTATTTAGGGAAGCACAGGCATGCTTTAATTACCAGATCCCCTAGGACTTGAGCCACTGTGGCAAGTGACACTGAAAAGGGAGAGGCTGCTGGCATGATTAACTCCTGACTTTTCTATTCTAGCCCCACAGGTGGCAAGACCCAGGGCGGTTGCAGCTCCCAATCCCCCTCTACATCGCCCCTCCATCTAAGGTCTTTGCTGGAGCTGCTGAAGCCACGTGTCAGCCCTACCACTCACCCTGCAGCAAATCAGCCTGGAGAAGTGGATAGGTATTCAAGAATATTCTGGGTGACTCCTAGAAAACCCAGTGGAGTTAGATAGAGGTAACAACTCCAGCTGAGCAAAGCAGCTGTCTCGATTCTGAGCAATGTGGTCAGAGAGCGGGTCATGGGAGCTGGTAAGAAGACAAACAATAATGGCATAAAACCTGGAGTCAAATCAGGGTAAAGATCACACAGGGCCCACTTCCGGTTCCCATGCTGGCTGCTGCATTCCCAGCCCGGCCCAAAGGCCAGACTTGAGTGCCTACTGGGTTCTGGCCTCATCTATCATGGTCCCTACCTTCACACACCCCAAGTCCAGGCCCCACGCAGTTTGGGGCTATTAATCAAAGTCTTCCACCTGGGATTCTAAACTCAGCCACTCCCCCTGGAACTTAGTGGGAACGGGCCCTAGAAAATAACATGCTCCCTCTGGGAAGCCCAGTCCACAGTCAAGTCCACAGTCAGGGACGATCTGAACCAGACTGACCTCAAGTGACGCAGGGAAGGAAGAGCTATACCCCTTACTTGGGGACTGTCACTCTGAGCGTGTGTGGCTTTGTACCATGCCAGCAGAGACCACACGGGGAGACAACCTGTGACTTTCAGGGAGCGTTTCTAGGCAACAAGTCTGGTGTCTGTCTCCTCTGCTTGGGGGAACCCCCAAGGGGAACCCTGGGGGACCCAGGGCTCATCAGGACCAGAGGGGCAGTGTGGATCACATGGATGAGGGGAAGTATTAAGGATGCTCCCATGAGGGGGAGGCCCCTGATGCCCACACGCGTGCAGACACGGACGCATGCTGGCAAACCAGGCAACCCTCCCCACCCCCTCCTGCAGGCGCCCGGCAGTGACTCATACCCTCTGGGTGGCGTGATTCAGCATCTCCTGCCAGGCTGAGTCGAACTGCCGCTTGTCATCCTCCAGCAGCCGCTGTTCAGCCAGGGAGATGGTTTCCTTAGCGGCACGGAGCACCTCGGTGGCCCTCTGGAAGTCCTGTGTGGCTTTCTGAGCCTCCAGCTGAGCCTGCACAAGAAAGAACCCTCATGAGGCCTCAGGAAATGGCAAAGGCCTCCTCTGGCCCACCACACCTTCCAAGAGATGAGCTTCCTGAGGGCTGGGACCTGCCCCGTCCATCTGTGCCTTTCCAAGTGGGAACAGCCCTGGTAGCCAGAGGGTCTAGTAAATGCCAGACAAGGAGACAGGTGCCAGGGAGGGAAGCAGAGGAGTCACAGGACCCAAGAGACCAGATAAACATACCAGCTCTTGGTCAGAGTTGAAGATGGCAAACCACAGGTATGGCCACCCATGGCCTTTCACAGAGCTCTCATGTGCTGGTGAGGTCAAGGAGGACAGATATGGTGGTCCCCAGTGCCATCCCTGCCTGGATCCATGGCCCAGTGCAATCAGGTCAGAACCAGAAGGGCCCCTGGAGATCACAAATCCAACAGCTTCATTCTACACGTGACTCCAAGAGACCCGGCCGGGCCACACAGAGAGGGCAAGAAGCCGAGCTGCGACCGGACACCAGGCACTGCAAAGTCCCACTATGTGCTGTCCCTCTGCCAGCCAGGCCCTCACACAATTCACACTCACTGACGGCGATCAGGAAGGACTTGAACGGTCACAGCACGGCCCCTGCTTTCCAGGAACGTCAAGTGGGAGAAGGCACGTGAATTGTAGCAGACCATACATGGGATCGCCACCAGTCACGTGTGGCTAGCAAGCATTTGAAATCCTTGATCCGCATGGAGTGTGAAGCACCCCAAATTTTAAAGACTTAGTACCAAAAAAAGAGAACTGTCAATAATATCAATTTTTGTAATGATCACATGTGGAAATGATAGGATTTGGGATGTACTTGGTTAAACAGAGTATCTTATTAAAATTAATTTCAACTACGTTTTTTGTTTTTTTTTTTTTTTTTTTTACTGTAACTACCAGAAAATTTGAAATTACATGGTTGGCTCCCAGTCTACAGCTTTTAGACAGTAAAACATCTCCCCCCAAGAGCGGCCCATGAGATCACATCAGGGATCAGCAAGACAACCCTCCAGCCCCCACTCTGAACTTCCCAGCAGAGCACAAGCAAGCAACTATCAAATGCTGGCCTGCGGCGTCCGACCCACCCACCCTCGGTTAACCCGATCAGTTATACAAGCCCCGGGGACATCCACGGGGAAGCCCCTGGGACTCAGGAGCCAGGGGAACAACAGGAGCCCCATCCATCCCCAGAGTCTCATGTGACTTAGAGGAAGTCTTGGAGAACCACAAGACAAGGAGGGTTAAGGGAACAAAACAGACTCGGAACACACTAACCCCCAAGGCAAGGGACAGCATGGGTGCCACTCTCTACCCTGCAGGGAACGGTGGACACAGGCTGTGTCCGACCCTCCGGGAGGACGATGTGGTCAGAGCACAGACACAGGCATGGAGAGGACACCCAGAATCTGTCCCACAGAGCTCTATGCCCCAGAGCACCGCAGGAGGGAGGGCGATAACGGACAGTAGGAGGGTATGCAGGACAAATCACTTCCAGGAGAGGGAATTTAGGCCTACTTCTTTGAAAAGAGGATGATCTGGAATGGAGGAATGAAGGACAAGATGACCTGAGAAATGCAGGGTTGGTGGGGGGCCAGGAAGAAGCAGTCTTGTGAACCACAGTGTCTCCAGGAAACCCTGACGAAGATGAGAATCAAAGTTTCAAAAGGTAGAGGACGAGCACTGAGTAATGCATGGCATAGCTGAATCTTTATATCATACACCTGAAACTAACACCACACTGGAATTAAAATAAAAACAGAATAAAATAAAATTTAAAAGATAAAAATATGTATATTGCTATTAATTGCTATTAAAAAAAAAAGGCTTCAAAAAGGAATCGAGAGTGGAGCCTGAATGAACACCAGACTAACACTTCAACCAGGCAGCCTGCCCACCTGCGGTGGACCACTGTGTGGCCCCAGGCCACACGGCCATGCAAGTGTGCCTCCGCAACACGATGGGGACAAGGGGCCCAGCCCTACAGAACTGACCAGCCCACCTTGAGGGAACAAGAGCACACAGACGCACAGCCCCCTCTCAGCACAAGACATGCTCCAACCTCCGGACCTGCAGGCCAGGCTGGGGATGTTCCATGAGAGGACAGCCCAGGTGGGGCCCTCAGTCTGCCTAGCTGCACTCCAGGGCAAGTAGGACTGCACAGGCATGTTGTTTCGAAGCTCCCACCACCTGCCCCACAGACCACCTACGGGCCTTGAATTGACACCAGCAGATGATAATTAATCCCAGGGGATTCTAACATTTTCCAAGGTGGGATGTATATTTGTGTTTTTTAGGAAATTTTAGTATTTCAATTCAGCAACATTTAAGGGTAATCTCTCTTGCCCCAGGTCTCCCCCAACCTGAATTAGGAAGCTTTTTTTTCCTTCAAACAAATGAAAGAAAGAGGTGAAATGTGGCCACTGTACCACAGACCCGGCACCCCCACCCCGCCTGCTCTCTTGCATCTGATGAGTTTAAATAAAGGGGCCCGATCTCTACAAAGACGGGGAAATGGAGACCCATCAGAAGGGCCTTTAGAAGAATATGCTGTCAGGTCAGTGGAGTTTCTGGATTTTCCACGAGGTTCCTACACGCCTGTATGTTATTATCAGAAACGTGCCTGCCTTGTCTTATCAACAATCTAACATGAGGCATCCGTCAACCTTTCACCCACCAAAACGATGGCATCTCTCCATCGCTTGCCCATCTACTTACTCATTCAGGTAAGTGTTGGGTGGCTCTTCAGCACCACTGTCTGTTCTCTTCATCTTTCCTGGGAAGAGAACCTGTATGTCTCAGGGTGAGGCAATGTGCCAGTTAAAGAACCTAACTGCCCATCTGTGAAAAAAGCTAGTGCCCTTCTAACTCCTAGCTGATGGACATTGAGTGAGCCTTCCAAGAGGGCTCCTTTGTCTTTCCATTGTGATAGTAATACAATGGCTGGCGCTTCAAAAGCCATTTGGGGTCAGGAGGCAACCTAAGGATAGAAGAAAAGTAAGTTAGGTCCCTGCCCTGGATTATCTATCTCCTGAGTTTTTAAATGACTGAAAAAATAAAGGTGCACATTTAAGCCAGTTTTCCATTACATTCAGCCAAACTAAACCTAAACGATAACACATCTCCCTCTCTCTACAGCTGAGCTATTCTGCAAACCCCACAGAAGTGACTACAGCAATAGCATTGACTGGTCGAATCTCCCTCAACTTCTTTCTGGCTGCTCCCAGCCCATTTTACTACTAATAAGCCTGAAAAGCCAACCTTTTGGAGATTCCTAAGAAATCTCAGAGCTCATGGCCTCTTTGTAAGGCATTTCATCAAACATTTTCTAAAACCACATCACAAGGAAAGACCAGGCAGGTGCACACACAAGGGGAGGGAGCATTCTATCGTACCCTTGGATGTAGTCCATTCAGCATTGTTGAGGAACCTCCTGCAGACTAATGTCTGGAGGGGAGGGGCCCACCCCAAAATTAGGGGTTCCAATTCAATCAGGAAAGCAGACATGTTCAATATAAGATAGACTGTGACAGTAACAGAGGTATAAAGTGCTACGGGATTATAGAGAAGAGAGAATGATTTGTCAATGTTTTCCCAGGAAGACCCATCAAGGGAGAGGGTGTCAGGGACCAGGCCAGGTCATGGTAATACAGGAGGCATCCGTGAGTTTACACACACATCTAACTGGGGAGGACTTAGCTCCGAAATTTCTTCCCAGTGTCCGAGATTGTATCCCAGTGTCCTAATGGGACACGTGACCTCAAAATCAGAAGCTGACTTAGCAATCCCAACAGGGGCTGGTTAACCGGTTCTCACTGATGTATGAAGGAGGATACCCAGAAATCTTGGGCACAACCAATGCCAACAAGTTTTACCTTCAAACTCTAAGAAAGGACCCAAGCCCTGGTGTTAATATATTACTCCTGGTGTACACAAATCAGGAGGTGGTTCTCCTAGCAGAAAACCCAGTTAGCAAACTGAAGGGCTGAAGCTCTGCTTAGAAGAGTATTGACGTGGTAAACGTTGGGGGAGCTGGGGTTTAGCTACAAGGTGCAACACAGGACAACTACGAACATCTTCACATGACTCATGGATACTAACAACTTTCATGGAAATAGCTCTCTGGAAAAAATGAATTAGCTTAGTAACCTTCATTAGACTCTGGCCTGGGGTCAGCTGTGACTGTGAAGGCCTCACATGTGTGGGTGTTCCACAGTGTCATCAACAAGGGGAAAGGGGAGCAGAGTGAAGAGGTCCACCATTGTCAAGGCTGCCAGGAGAAGGGAGAGGCCACAATCCCAGCTGCTACTAGACTTCCCCCCAGCCCCAGTCCATATTTGGGCTCAGGAAAGACCAAGAGCATCTGGACTTTTGCAGTGGTTGCAACATAGGGTCAGGGTAGAAGGAAGTTTAAAGATCATGCAGCTCAAGGCCTTCATTTTTCAAAAGATGACCCAAAACGCAAGACAACTTGCTGAATGTCCCACTGCTATTTATGCCTGGCCACAGCCAGGAAACCAGAGCTTCTGACCCCTAAACATAGCTATTTCTGCTCTACCTCTAATAGGAGACTTCAGTCTACCCTTGACCCATGGAAACCAGATAGTATCTCTCCATCACTCTACCTCTGACTTGCATAACTTTGGCAAGGACATAAGCGTCAGACAATCGGACAGTCTATCTGTAACTAACAGACATCAAGAGGAGCTGATCAGGGGGGCAAAGATGAGATGAGAATTCAAAGCGTGTGTGGGACTGCTGCCTCCCACCTGTGGCTCACCAGGCACACCAGCTATTCAGCTAAGGAAACTGGAAAGGAGTCTTGTCAAACATGGCTTTCCAAAGCCATGCTCCAGCTGGGGGTTGCTCCAAGTCACGGAGAGCGCCCCCGCAATGAGACCAGTCTTGTACCTGAGTACTAGCAAACCCCAAAGGATGGACACAGATGGTTGTAAGACAGTAATGACAGCAATTGCTGCTTGAGC